ATTGTCATGCGTATCTTTCAGTGAAGCACAGTTCTGTGATCAGCAGTAAATCTGCATCCAAAGGCCAGAGGGCGCTTCACTGAGAAGCTATGCAAACAGCTGTCATTATCGCGAACGATTTCTTCGATTTCAGAATCGTGCGATTATATCGTATGCGATTTTTTTGCGTAACTTGTCAGTGAACTACGGCTATGTGTAGTAAATGCTGCTCCATCTGAAAGCACGTGAGGATGATTTCCTGCTGATTACAGAACCGGCTTTACTATCAAAATGCGCATGACAATCGCATTCGATTAATCGTGCAGCCCTATGAGTACGGCACAGACATGTTACAGGTAATAATATGATCAAAAAGCCATGGCAACAAAGGATTTCAAAGGAAGTCAGTTTAATAAGTTTAAATATCTTTCACAGTCAATTTGATTCAACTAAATTCTTGCTTATATTGTCATTGTAGAATTAGGCTACTTTTTTCAATGAATTTTAATGAATATACGAATTAATAAAATGAATTGCTTATTTTTTTGTTACAAAATTTTCATTAATTTAATTTTCATTTACTTATTTGTCTTAATCGATTTTAAAACCATGGGAGACCACAGACATGAAGACATTTTCAACCGATTTTAGCCTTATCCTCTGAATGCACTAGACAATTCAACCAGAACGTAAGACCACACACTTGTTGATTGTAAGGACGATTTCACATTGACACGAGATCTCACGGAGACTCGCGAGATCAAATGTGACTAGAGAAGAAAAACAAAAAGAGAACAATCGAAAATGTTTAAAAGTTGTTTTTAAAAAGTAACAAAACGTAATAACAAGCAACAATATTTCAATCTTCCAGTGCAATTCAGTACAGCATACTGTGATACAAGTTTGAGCAGTTATTGTGATGAAATGGTACATGCCCAGGAGGGGGAAAAAAACTGAACTGAACTATTAGAAACACTGTAATATAAGTACTGTATTAATAACATCTGAATTTAAGTTATAAGTGGAAAAAACAATCTCTGTGTGTGCGTGTGTTTGTTTGAATTATTTATAGTCAAATAATTAATTTGGCACAACTAATAATAATATTTATTGCTACATTTGTTTATTTTTGTTTTTGAATAATCTGTGGTCCTACAAAGATTAAATTTTATTGACGACAGCTTGCTATATAGTTTCCGCACTTATGAACGGTTTACCTTTTAGAGTACTAGATGTGCTACACAGTCTCATTAGCAGTTATTTTCAGTGCACAACTAGACAACGTGTCTTTAAATATTCAAAAAGACTCTGAATACAATTCTTTTTGTATGTAATTTTTCCAGCCCTTCTGACCTTTGTGTTTGAACAGGACTTTTATTTTGGTGTAGTGGTGTGACGTCATAAGGCTGCGCTGTGCTCCTGTGATTCGGCTGAAGAAAGGTTTGTTTTTCTCTTTCAAAGGTTTTATGTCAATGTGCGGGCTATCTTCAAATGATGTGAAATAGCTTAATTATTGTTTAATGTAAGATTGCAATGCTTCATCTAACGTTACTGTACATTAATTGTGAAAGCGCATCTTAGTAAAAGAAAAGCTGCATCTCATTTCTCCCTTTATCATGAATCACTTCATAGTAAACACAGTTATAGATTACAGTTGCTCTTTCTGTAAAAAAGAAACCATTGTAAGATTATTTTGAATGTCTCTGGCTTGAGATGTCACCATTTCTGATCATTAAAATTAAATTAAATTTCATAGTAGCTTTGAACATAGTAGCTTTCAATCAGTTTTTATTCACAAAAAGATTTTAAAAAAAGTATACTATTGTATTTCTTTTTGTTATTAGGAAACTTTTATATCCATAAGTGTAAATGGAGTGACTCAAAACCCTATTTTGCCCATTTTCAAACAGCTCTTGCAAAAAATAAATAAATAAATAATAATAATAATAATAAATAAAAAAAGGAAATCACAAAATGGTTTAAAGGGGTCATATGATGTTGCTAAAAAGAACATTATTTTGTGTATTTGGTGTAATGAAATGTGTTTATGCGGTTTAAAGTTAAAAAAACACATTATTTTCCACATACTGTACATTATTGTTTCTCCTCTATGCCCCACCTTTCTGAAACGCGTCGATTTTTACAAAGCTCATCGGTCAGAAAAAGCGAGGTGTGCTGTGATTGGCCACCTATCAGTGCGTTGTGATTGCCCGAATACCTCAAGCGTGAGACGGAAATCTTACGCCCCTCACCATACTGTGATGATGCCCTGTCAGGCCAGAGCGACGAGACAAAAACATGAAAACCCATTACAAACGAGGCATTTGTTGCATCCAGTGATTTGTATAATCATGAGTATCGATAACATAATTACTGATTATAATGACTTATACTGTCTTTTTACATGTTGCATCGCGCCGCGTAAACATAAAACCATGTCAGCATTTGTGATCGGAGAAATGACAAACAACAAGCCCTACTCCACACTGCCCAAAACTCGCGTTTGAATCATCAGTAGTTACGCTTTCTTTCTTTGCGTGAACATTTGGGGGCTTTATGCAAATCTTCCCACATAGTGAGGTAGGTATGTGGGGGCGTGTTAGAACGAGCCGTTTTAGGTAGGCGTGGCTGACTCTTAACTTTTATAAAGAATATCTCTTTGGATTTGAGACTTTAGTCTTTGCAAATTTACAGATCTTCTTTATGCACCAAGAGCTTGTAACACTCCAAAGAGAAAGGAAAAAATGAAATCGCATCATATGACCCCTTTAAGTGATCTAAGCACACTAATAACCACATGCTGACGACACCTGAGGCCCGTTTCAGAAAGGAGGTTAAATGAAAACTCCTTAAATTAGTATGTTAACCCCGAAATGAGAGAAACTCTTGAGTTTTCCATTTCAGAAATGGAGGTTTGTCAAACCCGAGAAAGCAAGGTAACTTAAGTCAAGCCCGTTTCTGAAAGAGAGGTAACTTATACTCATGGTGCGTTTAAGTCATGTCGGATAGATCGTATTTACGAGTTGTATGCACATGAACGCCACCACAAAGTCGTTATTACGAGTGGGAAACTCGAAATTTTCTTTAAGCCCTGTGTTTCCAAGTTGGGGGCGTGTCAATGAGAAACATGGCGGAATCGATGGATGCAGCGTCTGTAGTTGACGGTAAATTTTTGTTTAAATTGATAGTTTAGTTGTCCTATAAACTTAAATTGGTCATGTTCTTGTTACGCAGCTGAAATCCAAGTAAAGAAATGCAGACCCTGTTGTATTTTCTTGTAATTTATTAAAAGAAGGTACACCGCCATCTTGTGCCGACTAAACTGACTTGAATGCACCTGACGTCATAATTACGACTTGTCAACTCGTAAGTACGAACGTCCCAGGAGGACTTGAACGCATCATCAGATTCAGTTACCATGGTAACTTACTCTGTGAACCTGACTTGGGGTGCGTAACGGGGGGAAGGTTAGGACGATTTCAAGGGCCCGGCTATGGAGAGGGGGCCTGGAACGCGATTTTTACTGAGGGGCCTACAAATACAAAAGCAACATTTATTCCTGTCGGATTTTAATATTCTTCCAGTACTTGGTATTTGTGGCCATCCTCTTCATCTGTTTTTTTTTCTTTTGCCTGTGGGATACCATTAAAATTACTATTAGTTCAATAACTTACCGTTCTGACAGTTTTCACCTCTGATATTATAACAGTGATTAAGAATTAAAGTTATGCATTGACTCGGAAGTACACTGATGTCTTTTTGTCGGATGCTGTTGCCATGGTGAATCGTAATTTCAGAGCTCTATTGATCATGGCTTTTCATATTCGTGGTGCATGCGCTAAATTTAGAGTCAGCCTACTCAGAGTGGATTGAGCTAACTCAGTTCAGCTGTTCTGAAACTCAGGGTAAAGCGGGCCACACACTAGAGAATTTTAAGCCCAATCTGCACCCCTGAACCCCCGGGGGGTGTGGCCCGATTCAAGGCTTGTCGCATAGATTTTTGGTCCAAAAAATCCTCTATTGTGTGGCGTCATTACGTTTATTTAACTGCTCCCAATTGAGACGGAGCGTCCCCAAACGCAAATTGTAAATGGTTTTAAAATCGTTTAAGATTTAAAAATCGTCTAGTGTGCGGCCAGCTTTAGTCAACTCAAGAGTTCAAGTTTAAACCATAGACTGTAAAAACGGCTGTTGCCATCTTGGCTGCGTGTCACTCCCGGATAATCGAAAATGGGCAAAAAGGCGGGACATGGGTGGAGCTCGTTGCTGAAACCACGCCCACCTAGCGCGACGGTGGTGACGGCACCTCCAATCCACCTGTCACTCAAGGGACCCTGCCCTTAATTATGCAGAACTTTAAGGCTTAATATAATTTAAACGGATGAGTTATAAAAAATGCACCCCCCTCACAGTTGTCATAAAGGGCAAAATGAACTATATAGACCAAACCCTCTTTTTGTACCAGGCTGTAAACACATTTTTTTCTGCTGTAAAGTTGGGCATTTTAACATGGGGGGTCTATGGGATTGACTCCCTTTTGGAGCCAGCCTCTAGCGGCCAGTCGATGAATTGCAGTTTAAATCACTTCCGTGTTGGTTTCGAGAGAGAAACCGGAAGGTTGCCGCTTTGGTTTAAACTCAAGAGTTGGTTGAACCTCCTTATTGAAACAGGCCCCTGCTGCTCAAAACTGTGTAAATGCAACAAGAAACCAACTGCAAACCAAACTCCTGGTTAACATGTATTAAAAGGGGTCGTGTTTAGTCACTATTTAGTGTGGTATTTTTTGACAATATTCACTCATCATGACAGTAAAATAGGGCATTCTAAGTCTATATACTGCAGTATTTCCTCTCTCAATCAGTAGAAAATATGGTTAACACCCGGTCATGCATGAAAAAAAAAAACCGTCATGTACCGTGAAACCGGTATAATTTTGAAAAATACCGTGATATACATTTTTGGTCATACCGCCAGCACAAATTTTTCTCTGTTCATTTTTTTTCTCATTTTCATCACGACAGTATCGAACCACACAGAAAAACTGGTGAAGCAACTGAGATCCACGTGACACACGATTATAAAGATGGCGTTCATTAAAGAGGAGAGTGAAGACTTCAGGATTGAAGAAGTATTCAGTCTGAAACAAGAAGATACTGAGGAACAAACAGGTTGGTATTCATTCTCATTGGATCCTCATTAAAATATCAGTCTCTACAGAAATGAATGATATTTTTAAAGAATGTCATGTGAGTTTACAAATGTATTAATTTTATTTATGGAGCCTCATGTATACAAACATGTTGAGATCACATGACCAGACAAATACTAATGCTGCCCTCAAGTGCAGCTGAGAAGATCCTACTTCTATACGTTATGTCATGCATTAAATAAAAATAAATAACTTAATAATCTAACTGATAGTACATAGGAACCTTTGTACATCCAGCCTTGTGGTTTGCTTTGAATCTTTTTCTGAATATTGAGCATCTTTCCCACAAGCTTCGCCACGCTCAGTGGGCCTCATTCATGAAACTTGAGTAAATATACGAGTCAATTCTGATTAATTTCAGCGTAAAACAGACTAGGGCTGTGCAATTAATCGCATGCGATTGTCAAGCGCATCTCGTCAGTAAAGCCGGTTCTGTGATTAGTAGTAAATCGCCATCACCTGCTTTCAGATGGAGCGGCATTCACTACACAGAGCCGTAGTTCATTGAAAAGCTAGGCAATATCGCGTTCATATTCGAATGCGATTCATCTGCGATAATGAACGCGATATTGCCTAGCTTGTCAGTGAACTACGGCTCTATTGTTAAAATAAGACCTCGCATGTTGTTTAATTTAATTGTGCTTGTCTGTCGGGGAGCTGTGGTGGTGCAGCTATGTCAGACTTCGTAACACTGACACCTTGGACAGGTCAGGTCGCTCCCCATCTGCACTGATTTAATTGCTTAGGATGTGTAGCTTTTCTTGTCTTAACTTACACTTTTCTGGTTTCAACTTTAGCCCTGCTGACTGCAGGTGTTCCATCACTAAGTTGCAGTCGTTGGTCGTGCTCTGCCGCGTCACTTCTGTTGACGGTGATATCATCCATGTAGACAGCTTTCCCTTCTAGTCCTTCCAGCGTTTCCATGATTTTCCTTTGGAAGATTTCAGGAGCACTGGAGATTCCAAAGGGTAGGCGTTTGAAACAGTACCTGGCAAAAGGGGTACTGAAGGTATTTGCCAGAACCCTGCAGCTGCATCCAATGTGGTAAACAATCTTGCACCATTCAGCTTTGCTGTGATCTCCTCTATGGTGGGTAATACAAACCTTTCTCTCTTGACAGCTTTGTTTTACTTCCTGAGGTCGACAGACATACGCACCTGTCTGGACTTCGGAGTGGAAAGGGATTCTGTATGCAGCATGCACTGCATAGGATGTGCATTCTTTTGTAATGAAATTGTCACTGGCTGTGTTTTTAGTAAGCCAACCTCCATCGCAGCACTGTGAACCTCATGAGTTCTTTGCACCAGCCCCATCTGCTCAGCTACTGATTGGCTAAATAGGTTGTTAGCAGTCACCTCTCTTGACAAACACTTTGGATGAGTACTGGTTGTTTTTGAAATCTGCGTGTGCTGCAACCTGGCCAATACAGTTCAAATGGCCGCCTGGGCTATTCAGTACAGTATTAGCAGCGAGCAGTCTTTTCTCAGGCTTGAGCATTCGAAATGCTTCTTTAGTCATAATGCGCACATCGGCACCTGTGTCTATTTTAAAGGTAGCTAACCAATCCCTAGCTGCACAAGTCCATTCATTGTATGAAGTTATGCTACCAACTAAGCCCAGAAAGTGATAATCATACTCTTTACAATCTCTTATTTCACTCATCATTTTGTTTTTGCACATCTTTTCCCAGTGCCCTGGAGTGTTTTGCTTCTCGTGTGTGTCTTTTATGTGCTACCTCTTGAACAGCGCATGCATCCTCTCACTGTGTGCTAACTTGTGCTTTCACCTCCTCCGATTATAAGGTTTCTTGTACCGTCATTTTAAGTGTGAGATTTGTGATGAGCTGCAGCTTGCGTGACACAGTTCTATGTCTTGGATTCCTACCACAATTTGGTCCTTAATGTGCTGTTCGCGAGCAGCCCTGAACTCGCAGTGCTGCGACAGTTCATAAAGAGCAGGGATGAAAGATTCCACTCTCTCACCAGGACATTGTACATGCAGATTAAAAACATCAGGACACCATGTAATAAGTCCTTTTAATGTGGGTGTGGAAGAAACCAATGTCCAGCCTTGTGGTTTGCTTTGAAACTTTTACTGAACTTTCCCACAAGCATTACAGTCCTGCCATATTCAATCATACCTACAATTTCTGCCCCTTATAAAGTTTCTTCTTTCTTATTCTTGTTAAAATATTAGTATAATTAAAATGATAAAAATAATTTATTATCCGCCATGGGAAGAATATACAAGGAGAAAAGCAGAGGACTGCGGGCTAAAACTAAGCCCTGTGGCACTCTATACTTGTGTTTGATAATAATAATAATAATAATAATAATAATAATGATGCATTTTATGTATACTGAAGTTTTCTTATACCCAAAGCGCAACATCAAGCATAGTACAAAATACATCAATTGAAATAAGAAAACAACACATCAGTAATAAAAAGAACAGCAGTAGTAATAAAATGGGTAGAGAGAAAAATTCAGAAGAAAACACAACATATTCTGTTACACCAAATACACAAAATAATGATATTTAAAAAAGCATCATATAACCCCTTTAAAAAGATGAGTTTTAACTGTTTCTTAAATCTACTTAATGTGGGGGCATTCCTAACAGTTAAAGGAAGTGCATTCCACAACCTTGGGGCCGCTACAGAGAAAGCTCTTTCACCCATAGTTTTGAATCTGCAGAACAGAGAGATCGTGAAGGCATGTAAGGAGTAATTAAATCACATATGTATGAAGGAGAGCAGTTCATTGTACGGCTTTATATGTTAAATTAAGGGTTTTAAAATCAATATGGGCATGGACCGGAAGCCAGTGCAGGTTCCTAAGCATGCCAGAGATGTGCTGATGAGGAGTATGAGTAAGGACACGTGCAGCTGAGTTCTGTATGTATTGCAGGCGCTTAAAAGGGAAATAACACAGACACTTTCACCCAATCTCATGTTGATCTTGAGTACTTATAGAGTAGTATAGCGTCGTTCATACCTCCAAAGAGTCTTTAGTATTATCATATTTATAAAAGAAAAATACAGCTTTCCAATTCTCTCCGAAAACAGCCGAGCTCTTGGAGGCACGCCGTGGGCGGAGCTAAAGAGTGACGAGCACTTGAGCGCCGATTGCCAACAAAACAGACATTTGATGCCATTTCACTTACTGTATGCAGTTCTGAATCATTTCCAGGATCTTTTATAGCTGGGACAGCTCCATTTTCCAGTATCAAATTATGTGCAAATCCAGCGCCGAACTGGGCCTCGTTTATAAAACGTTCGTCAACAAACACGCTTACAAAACTCTGTTGCTGCCCCGGAAAAACAAACTGCATCCACTGTTATCTTTCCCTTACAGCCAAAAACACATTTCTTTGGAGACTTCTCGAGCGAGTCTCGTTCAGTGCAGCCGAATGAAGCGCGTTGATGGGCACGCTCTTGCTCTCGCTCTGATCGATGTGTGTGCGCGGGCACGCTCTTCCAGGAGAAATGCCCATACAAGGAGTTCCACCCTTCATTACGTCACGAAGAGCCAAGCTCAAAAAAAAAACTCTGAAACTTGTACAAAACCGGAAGGAGTATATTTGACACAGAAATACTCTGCTCTACATTCATACCGTTTTTTGAAACTTTGGCCATGTTTAGCATGAGAATCCAACTCTTTAACCGTGTAAGTAACTCAACATGCATAAAATAGCATTAGACCTCCCCTTTAATGGATTTTTCAGGTAAACCAATATAAAGGGCATTACAATAATCAACCCTAGAGGTAACAAATGCATGGACAAGCCTTTCAGCATCAGATAGTGAAAGAAAATGCCTAATCCTGGCAATATTCCTGAGGTGAAAAAACACAGATTTTGAAATACTCTTGATATGTGCATCCAGAGTCAAATGAGGATCAAAAAGAACACCAAGATTACGAACTAGAGAGGATGGAAGTACTACACTAGTATCAAAATGCTAACTCAAATTTATACCATTGGAAGCAGCTGCAGGGGTGCCGATGAGAAGGACCTCTGACTTAGTACTATTCAATTTAAGAAAATTGTGGTACATCCATAATTTAATTTGTTGCAAGCAGTCAGTTAGTGTTTCCGAGATACCTGTAATATTAGTTTTCGTGCTTATATACATTTGGGTATCATCAGCATAGAAATGAAAACCCAAACCATGCTTTCTAACTATCTGCCGTAGAGGGAGCATGTAAATACTAAAAAGTATAGGACCCAGGACAGAACCCTGGGGAACACCATGACAGACCTGTCCGACATTAGATTTGTTGTTATCTAAAACAATATACTGGGAGCGATCAGAGAGACATTTAAACCACTCAAGCACTGTACCGGAGATACCAAGCCAAGTCTCCAGTCTCACAATCAGTATAGAGTGACACACCGTATTGAAGGCTGTACTCAAATCTAACAGCACCAGAATAGTAAGGGCACCAGAGTCAGCAGAGACAAAGAGATCATTCATGACTCGAACCAGGGCAGTCTCAGTACTATGTCCTGATCGAAACCCAGATTGAAAAGGTTCTAAGAGCTTGTTCAAGGACAAGTGAGAAGTGATGAAACATAATAATTTACATGTGGTAGCAATTTGATAGATATGACCTGACTTACTCCTGTGCTGTTGGGCACAATAGGGAGACGAGGTCTCCCCATTGTTGTCGTCCTCTGCCAGCACTTCAGCTTCGTCCCAGGATATGCCGGCATGCTTAAGATTGTTGGTAAAGGTCTGGCACCAGGTGGTTCCGGGTTGTCCACGCTTGGGCCACATAGCCACCAATGCATTGTTATGCATAGAATATGCCTGGCTAGCCTGAGACGTTGCTGTGTGATGGCAACTTGAAGGCTGTTGGAATTTCCCAGCTGCAAGACTTTTTCATTGGTGATGCGATCAATAAACCAGATCTTGAGAATGCCCCAGAGACGTTGCTGGTGGAATGTGTTTATCCTCCGGATAGTGTTCGCCATTAGCTTCCATGTTTCGCATACATAGATTGTGCTTTTGGACAACAATGGACAACTTGATTTTAAGAGAGATTGAAGCTGACAAAGACATTAAACTGCTTTTGTATGTTTGTTTTTTTTCTAGACCTGATTGAGAAGAGTCAAGAGCTGAAGGATATGGAAGAGAAAGAGCAGAATGAGAAAGATCATGATTTAAAAATAGGAGAAAAGAAGGTAGAATTTAAGAGTTTTACCTGCCATCACTGTGGAAAGAGTTTCAATCGACAACGAAACCTTAAGGTCCACATGAGAGTTCACACTGGAGAGAAGCCTTACACCTGTCAACAGTGTGGAAAGAGTTTCGCTCAAAAAGGAAGCCTTGCAGTCCACATGAGAATTCACACCGGAGAAAAGCCTTATATTTGCTCTCAGTGTGGACAGAGTTTTACACATAAAAGCAATCTTAATTCCCACATGAGAATTCACAGTGGAGAGAGCTTGTTCACCTGCCAACAGTGTGGAAAGAATTTCATTCAAAAACATAACTTGGCAGTCCACATAAGGATTCATACTGGAGAGAGACATTTTATCTGTAAACAGTGTGGAAAGAGTTTCACTCAAAAAGGAAACCTTGAAGTCCACATGAGAAGTCACACTGGAGAAAAGCCTTATATTTGCTCTCAGTGTGGACAGAGTTTTATACAAAAAAGCAACCTTAAATCCCACATGAGAATTCACAGTAGAGAAAGCTTATACACCTGCCAACAGTGTGGGAAGAATTTCAATCAAAAACAAAACCTTAAAGTCCACATGAGGATTCACACTGGAGAGAGACATTTTATCTGTAAACAGTGTGGAAAGTCTTTCACTCAAAAAGGAAACCTTGAAGTGCACATGAGAAGTCACACTGGAGAAAAGCCTTATACTTGCTCTCGGTGTGAAAAGAGTTTTACACATAAAAGCAACCTTAATTCCCACATGAGAACTCACAGTGAAGAGAGCTTGTTCAGCTGCCAACAGTGTGGAAAGAATTTCATTCAAAAACAAAACCTGGAAGTCCACATGAGGATTCACTCTGGAGAGAGACATTTTATCTGTAAACAGTGTGGAAAGAGTTTCACTCAAAAAGGAAACCTTGAAGTCCACATGTGGATTCACACTCGAGAGACATTTGATCTGTAAACAGTGGAAAGAGTTTCACTAAAAAAGGAAACCTTAAAATCACATGAGAATTCACACTGGAGAGAAGCCTTACATCGTGTCTACACCGGATGCAACAATACCTAAAGTCTGTCTACACTGGATACGATAAAGCAACCGTTGCAAATCATTTGAACTTTGTGCCAGTACATCATAAATAGAATGAGGGAGCAGTTTACTGTCAGGAATTTGTTGTTGCATCGCGCCGCTATTCAGTGTTGACAGCATCACTGATTATAATGAGTTCTATAATATTTTGTCACGCTGCGATCAATGTGAAAAGAGCTTCATAACACAACTAAGCCGTAGATACCGTATGACCATTCACACCGGAGAGAAACATTTCATATGTGGTCAATGTGGAAGGCAGAGATGTTCACAAGTCTTTAACTTGGAGTCTGAGTCAAGTCTGAAGTCTTTATCGCTGGAGTCTGAGTCAAGTCTCGAGTCTTTGGTCACGAGTCTGAGGCTGCGTTTACACTGGCAGAAAAAATCAGATTTTTTTGCCCACATCTAACACAGATCGGAATTTGATGCACGCGTGTAAACACAAAAATCCACACGAGATCCGATTTTTTCGCATTCGATCTGAGCCGTTTCCAAATGTGGTTTTAAATCAGATACATATCCGATATCTGGACATCCGACCTACGTCTAAACACGCATATCCGATTCTCCATGTCAATTACGTCACTGTTCCACGACGCACCGGGGGGAAAAGCTGTCCTCTCTCTGCCAAGTCGTACACCTTTGAGTTCCTCAGGACCCGTGCGTCATGTACGCTTCCCGGCCACCCCACGTTGATGTTGGTAAAGCTAAGTAATACATTTTACTGTTAATGTCTGCCTTGTGTATATCAGTGGGGTAGGCAAAAACAGAGTAGGGAAGTTTTATTTACCACATTCTGTCGTCTACAACCGCCTGCAACAGAACCGAATGCCAACCTTTCCGATTGAAGTAATCAGTGGGGTTGTGTGACGGGGCAATGATGGGAATGTGACTCCCATCAATTGCTGCAGCACATTGAGGGAAACCCCAGGTAGTGTAGAACCCCCTGATCACATTCTGAGTTCCTCTCCCCGTGGTAACTTAACATACTCGTGGAGCAGCTTGCGGTTTACTGCGAGGCAAAAATCGCGAACAATGTGACACACCGACGAACAGCTCACTCCGAACAGGTGCGCCAATGTGCGATAGCCGGCCCCAGTGGCAAGCCACCATAAGGCAAGGGTGACACGTTTGCGCACTGAGATCACTTTTCTTAATGGGGTGTCTTTATGACAGACGCGCATGTAAGCGCTCGCATAGAAACTCAAAGCTAGTCTTGTTTACGCGAAAATTTTGTACCCATTCCTTCTCGTCAAAGGAGTTGACTTGGTTCCACCACTCCTGCCTCCTTGGTCTTTCCCACAGTAGTCGTGACACCGATCTAGAAAGCATTAACGCCGTCCTTATGATGGCAGCATTAAAAAGCCGCTTTCGCTTTCTTTGTTTATTTATTTGCTGTCGGGTATACTTTTGCCGACTTTGGAAAAGATGAATAAGCAAAAGTCCATCCAGAATTCGAGGGTCAGTCGTTGCGCTCATTGTCGTGAAAGCCAGTGAAATGATTTTAGGCGGGAGATTAGTGTAAACACAGATATCGGATACGAGGCGTGTCTAAAGTGAATGTAAACAGACGTGCCAAAAAATCGGATATGGTGAAAAGATCGGATCTGTGCATTAAGACTTGCAGTGTAAACGCAGCCTGAGTCGAGTCTCAAGTCATTTAATGGCTCGCTAAGAAAATTCCATTCAGAATCCTCATGTTTTGAAATCTTCCTATTTACGAAGCTGTTTAGACAAACTATAATATATTATATTTTTATTAATAATGCATGATATGACTTAAAGGGGTCATATGATGCTATTTTAAAGGGGTCATATGATGCGATTTCAATTTTTCCTTTTTCTTTGGAGTGTTACAAGCTCTTGGTGCATAAAGAAGATCTGTACAGTTGCAAAGACTAAAGTCTCAAATCCAAAGAGATATTCTTTATAAAAGTTAAGTCAGCCACGCCTACCTAAAACGGCTCGTTC